AAAAAAATCGCTAATAAAAAATCCCGATTTTCGACTAAGAAAAAATATCGTAGTATGCCCTGAAACTTTAATAAACATTTCAAATTTTGTCCCAAGGTAGACCTTTTACTACTTGACATTTCAAAAAAAAATTATTGAAATCGGTTTACAACTTCAAATTTTATGGGGGTATTTCCATTAAAAATGGGTCACATTGTATATTACAAAAACCTTCATTGCAAAATAAATTTCACTTCCAAGGTGATATTTTCATGTCAAATTCTATAAATGAAAATTAACGAAGCTGTTCCAAGATATTCCGCAAAAATTATCAGTCATACAAAAATATAAATCATTCATTATATTTGGACCACACTGTATTTTCAATAATTCACATAATCAATAATTTTGAAAGTTTACTCACTTTTCAAAATGTCCTTCATCCCTTCCAGTTTAACGCTGGTGTATTTCCCATTTCTCGGTGGATTTTTGTCCTCAAAAGAACTCACCATTGTAACATCATGTCCTGCTTCAACTAATCCGCGAGCCAATGAATTCCCAAGAATAAAATGACTTGGAGACGGCATAGGGAACACGACTAAAATTTTAAAACTATTTCCAAGATACGCTGCTTGAAGTAAAACAATAATGTAATATAAAATCTCCATATTTAATCAGCACGGCAGGAATGTGCTGGAAGGTAATGAGGTGTTATAAAGCAGTAAGTCTATTAAGTATACAATCGTCCCACTGGTGTAAAGGTACACTGTGTATATTATAGACTATCTTATAATCTGTTCAGAAATGAAAGAACCTACAGCAGTNGGAAAGCAAGATAGAAAGAGCATGTTAATAGAAAAATCAGAGATTGTAGAATGGAGAAGAAACTATTCAAGTGAAATAAAGAAAGCCAGAGCACTAGGTAATTCTATTTTTTATTTGGATGAAACATGGGTCTATGAGGATCATACCGTCTCGAAGGTTTGGCAAAAGTGAAAGACAATCCTTTATGGAAGGTTGGTCCACTGGTCCGCAATTTACCACAGTAGACGAGTCGAAAAGTTGTCGACGTCGAGTTGAAGGAAAGCAGATATTACTAAGTGGTTACAAATGAAAGCTATTCCTTTTGAATCGACCATGTTGAAAGCGGAGCTCCACAACTTGGCTAAACGTCATAAGTCAAAATTCGTCAGGTATGTTACCGATGAGATGGCGAAGACTAAAGCTTGTCGCTAACTTGTCCGGCACAGCACAGCACGGCGCTGTCCGTCGCCTGATGGCGACGGGTAGTAGCATCGCCCACTTGTCCAGCGACAACCAGCATACAACCAGCTGTTCGATTTCAAGGGAAATACGCTCTTTGAGGATTTTTCTGTCTTCAAAAAAAGTACTCCTCTAACTGAAATTCAAACAGTCCGATAAATGTGTTGAGAAAGAAAATGCATGGGAAAACTCAAAATATTTACTTTTTTCAAACAATAATGTTGGATAATAAATGTGAAAATAGTTCTGGTTTCGTTGATAAATAAATAAAATCTGAAAAATACTGAGTTGTTCAATCATCAAATATTTTTTTCTCTAGATTACAATTTTCAATTCTTCTTCAATTTAGAATCGGTTCTTCTCGAACAGAACAAGTTTATGAATATAAAATAAGCAGCTAGCAAGAAACTGGCACCGATGCATAGAAGCAGCAAAAGGATATCCACCATGTAATATTGATACCACGTTAAATTCAAAGCTGCCACTCTCAGATGTGGAGCTCCTTTATGTCGGATGATATATTCGATCCAATATGTCGCCAGGTCCATAGGTTTCACCTTTCTATCGTGCATAATTGCTGATCTCTTTTTCGCATTTTCTCTATACCTGAAAATAGATGAAGTAATCAGTTCTAGAATTACAAAAAATATTCATTTCGACGTAATATTTTCGAAATAGAGTGATAATGATAATAATAATAACAAATAAGTTGCTGCCACAAATATGCTTGCCATTTCAATCTTACTCCTTTCGTTTGGAGTAGTGAAGTGGACTCGGGAGAAGCTGTATGAACTCGACGTAAAGATCCGAAAAATGATGCATCTCTATAGGAGGTTGCATTCCAAATCGTCAATTCCACGGTTGTATTTCCCGCGACAACAGGGAGGCCGTGGACTTTTGGGTTTGGAGTGTCTACATGACAGAATGGTACTGGTTACAGCCTGTGAAGTCGTCAGGAGTTCGGATCCCCTTTTCTGCATGATCCGTGACTATGAGAGAACAGGAATTGGATCATTTTTTTTTTCAGGGCAGCTGCCCGAGCAGCTGGTGAACCCGATTTAGTTTTCCACACTAAGAGAGCCGCAGAGATCACTCCTTCGGAAACACAAGCCAATGCATAGGGTCTTCTTCAACAATATTGAAGACCTTGGCTTATCAAAGGTCCTAACCTTCGCTTTCCTCAGGTCAACTGGGCTGAAGTCGGAAACTGAGTCTACCGTAGTTGCGTGATGGGCATAGAGGTTCCTGATATGATGCAGGGCCTACCGCGAGGCGTCTGAAACCCTGCTAGACATGCTGTCAGCATGTCCAGCTAAGACAATCTTGGTCTATATCCATCAATATAACGCGGTCCTGAGACACCGGTGTTGCTCTATGCTCCGGTGTATAATGAATCCGTTATGGTAAACGTGAAGTGCCAAATTAATTGGAACCATTCATTTCTCACCCTCAGGCTCATACAAGTTAATGAGCCTGATTTAGTTTTTGTTGACCACCAGAGCAAGACGATCTTTGTCGTGAAGATGTCAGCTCTTGGTGAGACAAATATCGTCCGGCGCCCAAATATTAGAATTAGTCAAGTAAACTCATGGTTTATTTGATTAATAGTAAACTAATCTGTTATAGCTATTAATCCGACCTGTGTTGAACTTACTCACACCCTCCCGTATCAAACTGAGCAGCCTATCAGCAAAAGGTGTTGGCATCCCAAATTTTGAATTATTAAATTTGCCTTTTCAAAATTTGGGGGGTTACAGACTCTATCTAGACCACTCTGTCAAGATGATTGTTCTGATTATTGGAGTCCTTGATGGAATGATACCTCCTTTACTCTTGAATTCCAAAATCATGCTGGCTTCCTGCACTGAGGCAAAAATCCTAGCCGAACAAATAGAAGGCTGTCATTCTCGGCCCACTACGCTTGCACAGAGCACATGATTCTCGGACCCAATAAAAAAACTCCAGTAATATTCATTGAAGTGTATAGGTTAAATTTCATGGCATTTCTTCATATATCACGTTGTGTTGTGTTCCTATGAATTATGTATTTCAATTCCATACGAATTTTTAAGACACAAACTAAATGAGAAAACATTATTTTCTTGTATTTCAGTGTTCACTTATAGTAGTTGTTTTCAAAGTTTGTACCTGAAAAAAACTTCTGGCCATGGTTTACTTGTTTATTTGTAGTTGTTTTCATTCTGCCTTTTGTTAGGAGTTTCAAGAACTGAAAAACTAATGAACTAATCACCCCCAAAAATATTTCACTTTCAATTCAACTGACTAAACTTACTTTGGATTATTCAGAAGTTCATATAGAGCTTCGGATACATCTTTCTCGGTTAGTTCGGATATTGATAAAGATAAAGCATATCCGCCTGCAACCGCTTTTGCAGAATTTATTCTCTGATCTCCATAAACGGGTAATGCTAGAACTGGAACACCATAATAGATTGTCTCTATTGTACTGAGCAGTCCGCCATGAGTGATGAAAAGCTTCACATTGGGATGAGCTGTAAAGAAATCCAATAAGATGAAAGAGTTTGTGACCAACAGTACTAGGAATATTTCGTTCGGAAACTAATGAATTGATTAAGTTCCATTGGAACATAATTAAGCATCGCCAAATCACAAGAAATAATAACATTGTTATTATTTATTTGTTTGCCTAGCTCTGAAGTGCTTATTTATTAGCACTCTTTTCAGTACTCTGATGAATGATCTGAATTTCTTGTTTCAAAAAATATACAGGAGTGGTTCTGTTTCAGTTTTATCAGTATGAATTCAAATAATATGGAAGTATTCATAGGTTCCTGTAATAATTCAATGTGCTTCCAAAAAGGCAAACCACAATCAATATTAGTGAATATAACAACAAAAACTCAACATCCTACGACAGATGAATATACAAGTATCTTTTTTTAATCAGTATTTTTTTTTATTTCATTCATATGAATTCACAATCATTTCGAGTATTGAAGCAATATGTGTCAATGAACCAACTTTTTTTTAAGAACAAAATACAAGCACTACGAGAATATCCTTAAGGCGCTCTCAGGGCGATGCCTGTACGAAAGTGGCGATTCACATTGGATTTAAATTGCTGGAGATTAAATCCATTTGGAAAAACGTTCTCAGGAAGTTAATAATAATAATAATAATNATCATACCGGCGTGCCGCACTAAGGCAGAACTCTTAGCCGCACAGATGCAGAAGGCTGTCGTTCTTGGCTCTCTGCGCCTGCTCAGGGCACATGATTCTCGGACCCAATGATTACTTACCCCACGGTGTGAGGAGTGGTCATTGGTTTATAATACTGGCGCACCCTCCCGAATGTATCAGGGCTTCGGGGGATAGGGCCTGACCAGCGCACACTACAGGGAAAAAAATAATAATATGTCTTTATTATTTTCCACAAACAGTACATCTATATTAAAAACTTTTTTTTCAATTTGGAAAATAAAGAGCTAAGTTCATTTTCTCCATTGAAGCAATCACTTACTTCATCAGGAATATGTTCTTCCACTTAACTCTATACAGCATATTTTTCCTCAATGATGATAAAGTAGTGAGTATAGACAATATATATACACTACATAAATTAGATTAATATCTATAGTGAGGTTACAAGGGAACACAGGAGAGCAAGTTATGATAAAACTGACTTTTATTTTTTGAGTAGGAAATTTTTATAATTTGACTTAAAACTTGTAATACTGAGATTTTGCAAGGATTTAGGAAAGGAGTTGCGTAACTTATAAATTTGATATGTGAAGGAACGTCTGAATGTTTCCGTTTCAATTGCCGGTGGAGATAACAAACCTCCGAATATCAAATTCAAGTTGTGCACATCCGTTCATTTATTTATTTTGTTAGGATTTAATGGGATATCAACCTTTGTTTTCTTTGAGTTTCCTCTGAGGTCATTTATTATGGACCAAATCTCTTTAATTTTGTTAATTAATTCTCCAATTGTGTTTTTGTAATACATTTTCTTTGCCAACCTGATAGTTGATTTATAAATTTTACGGTACCTCGTGAGGTACCGTATAAATGAAATATTATAAATATCCTTATACCGATGCGCTTGAAATATGATAGTCATTTGAGGTAATTAGGCGCCTATTTAGCCATGACTAGATTGAAATTATCAGGTCCAGGGGCGTCTCAGTGGGCACCGAAACTAATAATATTGGGAAAAAATGTGCCTTTTTTCAAATTAGATCAACTAAGAAAAATTAGTAATTTGTGTTCTCTTTTGTTTTCTTCATAACGTTGGAGCCACTCTCATGTTTTTCATTCGAAATAATCAATGATTACGTCATTACTGGAAGGTAGGTCACCATGCACATCAAATTAATATTTAGAAAAACAGTAAATCTTATTTCATCATCTTATATGTGTCCGCTATGATTCCAAATTTGTCCATGGGCAAAAAAGTTCAAATAAGCTGCATGTATATTGTCCAAACTTCCGTAGAGATACGCAACACATACAAACTTTAAATTAGGAGGAAAACTGTCAACAACCGCCAAACGGTCAACTCCCGATAAAACGGATGAATAGTCCAGTCATCACTCGAAGAAGATACTATCAATTTTATTTTGTATCTTGATCATTTCATTCCACGTTTCATTGCCTGATATAATTGATATTTTAGCTATTCATCTAATTTACTTTGTTCTGTTATAGATTTGGAATCATATTAGACCATGAAACATTGTCAACCACTTTCAAACGAAAGTAAATCTTATATATTGAAATAAGGTGAGTAAGATTTTATAATTTTTTTTTATGTATTCCTTCCATACTGTGATTTTAGTTTTTCTAAATCACCAATCACATCTAAGACTTACCCAGAATATCTTGCTGCGGAAACCACTTGGCAATTCTAACATTCTCAGGTTTACCAGGAAGATGATCTTCATCCCATTTCCACAGTACCTTTTGTTTCAGTTTTCCTAAGGCAGACAATAAAGCTTGTTTACTGTCCTGACTCATGTCCGAGGGTTTCAAATTGGAACCCATGCTGAAGTATACAACCCCATCTTTTGCACTGTCACAGAACTCTTGGAGATCTTTAGGTAAACTTTTCGGGGGATTCACGTGATATCCACCGATATTCACCATATTGGGCACATATGGTACTGGATCATTAATACTTTCGTGTGCGTTTAAGAGCACAAGAGATACATTTGTAATGAGTCCATTATCATCAACACACTTGGGAAAATGTTTTCTTGCTAGTTCTATTTGAGTCGGAAGGAAAGAAAACCTGTGATTGAGATCCTTAGCTAGATACATCAATAGATTCACAAAGCGTTGCCACATATTCATACTGCTTGAGTAAGTCAGGAATAAATCTGGTATATACGATGAAGGTGATGGATTCCCTACTAACGAGTTCACCCAGTAGTTGGATGATAAAGTACTGAATACCACCAAAGGAGTCTGATAGTGGCAAGCCAGTACTCCCAAACCAGCGTCAACAAATAATTCAACAATGACCAGATCGAACTTTTTACCGGATTCAAGCAGTTTTTTGAAGTTATCACTAGCAAAAGTAGAGTTTGTAGCTGACTTTCCAATATAGTTCATGCTTTTCATATTCAAAAATGGGTTAACTTTCCCGAATTTGAATAAGTTAATTTTCCGATGAGCACCTGCAAATTTTTCAAACAATAGTTATTCAATTCATTCATTCAACTACATTACATTTTATGATGTTTTTAGCATTTCAACCATATTCTAGTAAAATCTACACAAATGAACACAAACATAACAATATAAAAACATGAGGAACATGAGAAATAGGAACAGAACCATGAAGTGAAATCGAGTATGAGGCTTTCAGGTGAGGAGTCATGATTGAAGAGAACAAAACCCAGGCTGGTAAGCCGTGGTGGAATAGAACCTGAAGTATCTAACGTTTCCTACTGCGGCATACATCATCAGTTGTAAATGCGTTGACTGCGGGGTCGAAGGTTATAAATCGAAGTATCAGCAACAATTGACTGACCAGCTACGTGTTCACTCGTATTCATAATTTCAGAAGGTGGTGGGAGTCATTGTGGTGAGGCTGATGAGGAGGGGTAGGGAAGATGGCGGAGTGTCCGTGCAAATTCTCACTCCTGATTGGTCCGCTATTTTGTTGGGTCGTTCTGATTGATATGCACTGTTACTCGGTGGTTCTGATTGATTCACATTGTTGATAGGTATGCTTCTGACAGAATGTCGATCGGAGTGGTTTCTTTCCCATTTCGGGCTTTTTCGAGTACTGCCAGGTTCTGTTAACCATTCTGTTAACCGTAGAATTGAACAGGAGAGCAACTTCTTCGTCTTTTATCACGTGGTCTGTTTATACTTGTACATGATGTACAATTACGGATTGCTTGAGGTAACATCTTCTCTTGTGATCTTTGATCCTGATGTTGATGCTGTGTTTAATAGTTGCTATGTAAACTGAGCCACAGGAGAAGGGAATCCTGTAATACTGGCGGATGTCAGGGGTTCTCTTTTGTCTTTGGCCGATCTGATAGTGTTGCGTAATTGATTAGTTGGCTTAGTCTCGATGTTATGACGTTTTAACAGTTTTCCGATGCCAACCACTGGCGACAGCATGGCTGGAATGAGGTATAGCACTTTGGATTTTTTCGCTGTAAAACCATTGACCTGTAGAGCTTGGTCTAGAAAATGAAATTCGTCTTCAAGAAGATGTGGTTAACAAATCCTGGTGGCACCATCAACAAGTGTTTTCGACACAGAATGTTTTTGATCTGGATGGTGGTATGAGTTCATGATGAGAAAAAAATTTAGTCACAAAAGCATCCAGTCTCAGTCATAGGCTATTTTCCACCCTCCCAAAGATATCGTATAGAGATGAAAAGAATGCGGGACAAGATAGGTATTATTAAAATCAGAAGTTGTTCCGAGGGAGAAAGTAATTATTTTCTATTTTAATGTTTTTCAGGTGCAGGGGTAGTGTTCGAGGTGCAAAAATTAGAAATTGAAGAAATGTTGAAAATTGCAGATGCCTTTGCAATTTCTGTTTCTTTATCTGGTCATCAATAATTTCAATAGCTGATACTTACTTGATTGGGCTTGCGTGTTTCCCTCCAGTACAATATTTGAGTACTTTCCATTTTTGGGTGGATTTTTATCTTCGTAGGGACTCACCATCGTGACATCATGTCCCGCCTCTGCTAATCCCCTAGCTAGTGCATTTCCTAGAATAAAATGGCTTGGCGCAGGCATAGGAAAAACAACCAAAATATTAAAGCAGTTTCCAAAACATGTCATTTGAAGTAAGACAATTAAAACGTATAAACTCTTCATTTTTCATTGAATAAAAACTATACTTCGAACATGCAACGTTTAATGGTGAATTGTATACCTAGCGAGATTTCGAAACGGTGTTGTGATATCATATTGTTATCACTGATGTGAGTGAGCATGCATTTTTCTTTGATAAGCAGCACAGAGTCTGACTCAATTTTTTTGGCAATTTTTTTTGTTCACAACTATGTGTAGGCTCCAATTTAGTTACAAACTTTACTCCTGATATTCAGGGGTTTTGACATCCCTGAAATCAGAAAACTTCTCAAAATAAATCAAGCTAGAATACGGAAGCGAAAATTAGACTTTGATTGCCAAATTTCGACTTCAAATTCGAAATTTCCAGGTTGAAGTCATTGTATATGTGTATATTGTATGTGTGTGTGACTTTCTGTGTTTCTCTTTGTTGATGATTGTATGTTCGTATATAGATAATTGTGTATAGTTTCGTGAAGGGTTGATTTTTTGATATAGTGAAAGTTTCATTAAAATGAGTTCAAAACTATCCCTAAATGCAGGGTGTTACATTTAAAATAACTCAGTTTTGGCCAATTTTTATATCTTCAGAATAACTCATCGATTCCGAACATCTTGTATAACATTTCGAAAATGTTACTCCTGAAAGGCGATGAAATGAAGTTTTAAAATCTGTTTTTCCGATAATCACCTGTCGCCCCCATACGAACGACAACTCTCAGAAGTTGAGAAACTTGTGCGAGCTAAGGACTAACGAGGTCTTACCTTTCAACGTGTGATTCCTGACACGGTTGCAGAGTCATCCCAGCTTCACCCAGATAAATTCTCTCGAGAAAAATATCTGGTCGAGGCGGGAATCGAACCCACGGCCTTCCGATCGAGAGTCGGGCGCTCTACCACCGCGGCCAATTCCACAACAAATAGTCAATCATACTTCATTTGTGTTTTCTATCAAACTTTTGAATTGTTGAGGAATCAGTTGAGCGGTTCATTTTTGGTATAAGGTGTATTACATAAACACATATTAGAATTACTCCAGATATTCAAAAAATGTCAAAATGTACAGGGTGGTGTTACATCTGAATTGAGGAAGTTGGTACCAACTTCCGGTATAACCGAAAGTGTTAAAAACGCCATCATTTTCATTCGAAAAAACATTAAAAAAATATATTTGCACTTTTCGTGGTGTATGAATCCTATTATTTTTTAAAATACGGCTAACCGACATCATCGCCCTGTACCCTTTTTTTAAAGCATTTTTCATTACCTTGGAGTACCACCAAAATAACTAACTCAGGTACTGAGTTTCGTGTATTATCGAGTCACGTTATATTGATTCGATACATTTGGAGATTCGAGTTTTGGTATTTGTTCATTATCTCTTTATGTACCTTGGTTTCCATTATCTCTAATATATTTACTAATTACCTGAAAATAAGCTCATTGTATTGTATTATATAACTTATATAAGATGGTCCAAAGTTAACGATGAAGTCAAATATTGTTTGTCTTTATCTACGCCAATGTTTTCATTCCTTCCTAATGTAACACCAGTTGTGATGAAAATGTTCCCGTCCACTTCCTTAAGGCTTTTCGAAGTGACAACTATAGAACTATAGACAACTATAGAACCAACTATAGAATCACAAATACTACCGGAAAGTCCTACGAGGTCGGTGTCCATCTATTTAGGCCCCAAACTTTTCAACGAGATTGAATGTAAAAAGTTCCAATTGATATATCAAGTTTCAATCACGACTTATTTTTTGAGGCACTGACATTTCAGTTGCTATGTATTATCAACTGTTTATATGTATGAGTTTACATTTATTATTGTGTAAAAATGTGTACCATAAACTGACATTTTGCTTGTCATTGTACGGGAATATTTTTATTCAATTTCTTACTTCTCAAAAATTGAGTTTTTTTCCAAAGAAATAGTTGTGCTAGTCAGGCACTAGGTCCGAGTATCGTGCACTCCGAGAAGACGTAATGAACCAAAAATTACAACACTTGGCATTTGTACGGCTGAGATTCCTTTCTACACCGTGAGGTGAGTGGTCATTGGATCCGAGAATCTTGTGCCCTGAGCAATCGGTCAAGATTTCTACGTATTACGGCAAGCCGCTCTATTCATGAGAATAGGGAAGGAGTTATTATTATTATTGTTATCATTCTTTACCGAAGGTTAAGCTGGACAGCCCTGTCCCCAACGCTCAGTAACATTTGGAAGGACCCGTCAGCATCAGCCCCACACCGTAGAGTACTGAATGATAATTGGGTTCGAAAATCATGTACACTAAGCTGACATAATGAGTCATTCTACGGTTGCGATGTACATTATCGAAAGTTATCAGACAATGGACGAAGTGATTTAGTTATCGTCACACAGACTTACTATGTTACTGATTTGTGTCCTCGGTTTTATTCCGTTTGTAGTGAGCATTCCTATCGATTTAATTGAATGACCTGATTCGTGTGTAATTGAGTGTAGGGAGCCAGACTTCATTCTTCTGTGTTTCTGAACACAGAAACAAAGAATGAACAACATCAACTTCACGTGCACTAGATGTAGATGTCATTTGATTTTTCGACCTTCTGTGTATTTTTTGGGAACATTTCAATGTAATCTTGTGTTCTGTCATTCTTTGTCATCTTTGTCGGATATAGTTGTTGAAATTTGAACTATATTACAGTTGTTGTTTACAGTTGTATTGTTGCTGCCTCCAGAAATATTCGATATTAAAAAGAAAATAATTCAGAACTATGAGAATTCATTATGTTGCATGCAATGGGATCGGAAATCGAGATTATTCTCAATGAAAATTGTTTCTGGCCTTACAGTTATTACACGACTACTTAATATCACATAACAAATTTTATATGACTTATCTCATTAGTTCGTGACAACTGGCAAAAAATAAGAGACCATTGAAGATTACAAATTGATACAATTTTGAAAGTACCTCTCTAACATATTCTAATGGGGAATGTTCCTCCTTACGAAAATCAAGTAGTTTTCATAAAAGAGCTCGAAAACAACGCATTTCAACGTTTTTCTTTAAAAAATTATTCAAAGACTTATTCAATTACTTAAAAAAGAAGAATGAATCAATGCATTCAACATTTAAAGGGATTCCTTTCTATTTCACCATTTGGCAACATCGGTTATAGCTAATAATGGGCAATTAATCTGTTACCTCTATGAGACAAAGATGACATATCTCAGAGGCGTGCTGTTCTGTTTACTCATGTTCCGAGTTCCGAGACATTCTGTGACATATGACATTTTGTGCACCTAACCTATCTTCCTCTATATAAATAAATAACAAAACAACTGTTGTTTATGTGGCTTGTGGAGGTGGTATTGAACTATAATTTATATTTTGCCTTAATTGTTGATTTATAAAGATAATTTTCCTTTTCTAAAGTAGAATACGTAGGTAGGTATAAATTATTTTAAATTAAATTAAAACCCAACATTTGAATACTTTACGAAGTGAATTTGAAAAACTCATGAATTAAACTCAACTTTATTTTGTTCAAACTTGCATTCGCTGTAATAACCCAAATTGAGGAACATTCCCCATTAGTGTATAATCCTTGTCAATACCGGCCACCGTTTTCTTTTCCAGCAAAACGAAATTCACCAATTCAAATAAACTTAGGTATCATTGACGTCATTCAACACACGTTTGAAAAATAAATAAGTAGAAGAGATATTCAATGTCACTGTCACGAATGTCACTTATTGAAGGTTAGAATTATGAAAAACAGCTATATTTTTTTCAAATTCAAATGAAAAATTAACAAAATTTTGTAACCACTTCCAAATAAACATGGCCAATGTTGAAGTAGAGCCTGGCGCGGCTGCGGAAAGTGTCTTAGTGGCAACAGATGCATTTGATAACATGGATCAAATGAGCTCCAGCCTAAAGGAAATAAAAAATACAAATTCCGTACCCCAAGGTGAAGAATCCAATGATAATACCAACAATGAAACTTTTGAAGATGCCTCTAGCTCAATAGAAAATGATAATTCCCAAGAAGATCATGAACTGAATAGCGACTGGATAAGTAAAGAGAAACATATCTTTGTACTGAGTATGGCTGGAAAACCAATATATTCACGGTAGGTGCATCATCATTATGTTTGCGAGAAGCCTTTTTAACTTTCAAAAGTTGGTAAAATATTTACGAAAATACTGTTTTCACTCACCTGAATTGGAACAGAACCTTTCGAAACGGGTTTCGTAAGTCAACATCATCAAGAGAAGAATAACAAGCAAGTTGAAACCTTGCATATACATTTGGATGAATCATTTATATTGGTAATGAGGGTTATGAAGTTGTCAATAGTATTTATTTGTTTATCTCAATTCCTAATTATTATTTTGATGATTACTCATTATGGCACCTGTTATTTCCCTTGTTTCAATCTCTGTAATTATAGCATGAGATATTCAACAATGAAGTTTTAGAAATTTCACTCCATTGAACTCATTCCACATTTCTTTATTTCTAAACTTCAGAAGGCATCTAAAAGCCTGCTGTCATGTGCAGGTCTGAACAATTTCAAGCATTTCTTGTTCATTCTGTGGCCATTCTATAAGGCATGTTGAGCGATACTAGACTTCTCAGGTCTACAAAACCGAATATGTGAAATATGTTCTTTGAAACGAGTTTTTATTGTCTGCTTAGTTTACCCGACATACTTTTTATTGTAATACTCACAGTTTCTCAGTTTTCACAATACTGTTTTTCAAATTATCCAACATATGTGAAGGTAATGTTCGATACTTGATAAAAATCCATAATGTTTTTTGAGATTTTTACTAAACAGTTCACAAAAACTTGTTGAGGGCTACAAGCGGTTTATAAATCTATTTTCATGTTTAATTTCTTGAAAATTTGTGTTAAACCAATGAAATATTTTGGTTCATAGGGAATAACTAAGTACCTATAAACTTTGTAGAGAACATAAATACTTGATTTCATATAAGACTTCAAATGGATCTCTTATTCATACATCTTTTTCAGACACCCTTTTTTAATTATTTTGCTGTTCAAAAGTACAAAAAATAAACTACGTTCCCAAGTCACTTTGCATTGCATTACTGAAACACATAATTTAGCGCTTGCTTCATAGACATCATATAACTGAAACGTTATTTGAAGTGTGGGCGGCCAGAGCATTTCCCGAAGATAACTACATGACCCTAAAAGGTATTCCGAAATAATTTAGGAGTTACACTAAGCAATAGCCTGTTAGTTTTGTTTAAATTGTTTCTTCTTGATGAATTCTCATAGATGATTGTGAGGATAACAAGTATAAATAATCCTTTATATTTTTTAAAAGTATTTTGCAAAATATTTCATTATTCTTCGGGTGGCCCTTTTTCAGAAACCAGCACCTTAGTCCAGTATATTACTTATTCATTTAGTACAAAACTTTCAGACAGAAATTATGCTAATATAAGGAAGTTGATAAAAAATCAAAAATCAATATAAAAATCTGATAATAAGGAAATATGAACACTCAAATACACAATTATAATTTGATGATCATCATTGAAGTGAAAAATTTTCTTGGAAAGGTTTGGAAAATATAAGAACTGTTTTAGATTTTTTTTTTAATTTTATCAGGCAATTTATTAAAAACTCCCGAACAATTTGAAATCGGATCATTCTTTCCTTTGGTAGTATGTATTACATCAAGATGAAAATTACTGAAACTGTTTGTATTGTGATCATGTACCTAATAAGGAATTTTTTAATAATCGAATATAATTTTTCAGGAGATTCAAAGTCATATTATTAGTCATTTTGTATAGTTCCAAAGATGGAGTATCCCATGGTCTATTTATTCATTGAGGGATATTTTTCGCCTTTCAGTGCAGAATGACCAAATTTTAATGAGATATCTTATTGGAGAGAAAATATGAACGTTTCAAATTAGAATTTGGATATGAGTATCTAAAAATTGTATTCTTCTGATTGTTTCTACCAGGGGTACAATCGATTCTTTAATTTTGTTTAAATGACATCTGAAACCGAAATCTTCATCATCTATCAGGCCTAGATATGTATGTTTTTCAACTTGGTTGATTGATTTGTTCTTAATTTTTAGATTGACTTTTATATTGATCGCCCATCAAACCTATATTTTCGATATTATCAACATAGACCAACTAGGGTCAAAATAGAACCTTTTTGGAAACCAAAAATTGAAACTATTTCAAAACTTACACCATACTCACGTAAAGGCACGCCTGAAGAAGCCATTGCATGGCGAAACACATGTCGCGTTTTTGTAAAACTCTTCATTGAAAATCTCAAAATAAAGTGTTTTTTGAATATATTTTGAAAATGAAGTTGATTCAAAATTATGTTATGAAACAAGCTGATAACCCAAACATTTAATCATTCCAGTAAAATTTCCTATATGTCTTCAGCTATGGCAATGAAGATAAACTGGCTTGGCTTTTTGGTGTGATGCAAACTCTTGTTAGTTTTGTTCAATACGGAGACGACTGCATCAGAAGCATCCATGCTGGAAATACACATTTCGTCTTTTTAGTTAAGAAGCCGTTAATTCTAGTTGCAGTCTCAAAAACTGAAGAAAGTGACAACCAGTTGATAGCTCAACTGAAGTAAGATCAAAAACCCCATTATAAATTCATTATAATAAACTTTCCTTCAATTTCCAGCTATGTGTTCAACCAAATAACAAGTATTTTAACTCTCACTCGCCTAAATAAAATATACGAACAGAGGCAAAATTATGATTTAAGGAGACTGCTCTCTGGTGTAGAAAGACTTATTGACCATTTATTGGATCTATACGAGAAAGAACCGTCATTTTCTTTGGGAGCAGTGCAGTGCCTTCCTCTTTCATCTTCTGTTAGAGAGACTATCAGTTCATCAATTGTAGCATCATGTAATAAAATCAAGGTATGTATGAATAATCAATAGAAATTTTAGAGTAGAGGAAGGGTGGAGAAAAGATGAACTATTTCAGAGAGAGAGAGATAAATTCATACACAAATATAAAGGTCACCATATGCACGATTGGCGACATAAACATAATGTTTTGATGATATCGTGGAACTGTTTCTCAACTTCGTTTTCACCTCACTGAAGACTGGTATGTTTACATACCAGTAATAAATAGTAATCACAATTACATTATCAAAAGTATCCAATTCAAATATTCTGATCCAAGACTGATAAATATGCTAATTTCTATTATAGTATAACAATTTTCATTTGAAGGTAACTCATATATAAATTGAACTGAGAGCTAACGGCAACAATGTTAAACGTTAGAACTAAATTCTTACCAGAGTCATTTTTATTGTCTATGCATCGCCATTGTAAATAATTGAAAAGTAAGATGATTCCATAAAATTTTCCCCCTGTAACAAGATTGCTTTTGCATATCGATAGGATGTATGAGCGAATAGGTGAACCAGTTCGTTAAATACTTTGAAACATCGGTGAACTGATCAACACTTCACAGGTCTATTATATTTTCGTTCATAAAATGCTATAACTAGTCATTCGGTTTCTTCATTATCAAGCGTCCTTATCTGCATAGGCATAGTGTGTTGAAGAAGGCAGCGGTAATTTGAAGCTGAATCTTTGCCTGGTTTGATACATTGGCTAGTCCAAGTTGTTAAACAAGTTTCAATTTTAAAGAGAAGGCAGATTGTCTCATATATGAATAAGGAGTTCACAGTTAGGATTCTGTTAGAGGCAAAAAGAGGCTGACAAGAGTCCCTAGGCTTGGCTTTGCATATGCATCGTATTGCACGTTTTTGTATCAATGTGTGGTAGAACACACACCCCAAAAGCAAATATCATAACAAAGATGGGATTCAAAAAGGGAATGATACACCATTCTAGCTACTGCAGATCCAAGCTCAAATGCAGTTACTCGTATTGCATAACATCCAGAGGAGAGCTTGGATTTCAAAACAAATTATTATCAATGAACAAGCCAAGGAATTCAGAAGTTGGTACATTGTCAATTTTAATATTATTTCGATGTACGGCTGGAATCTGGCACCTATAGGACGCTACTTTTGTTTTCATAAATTCAAGCTCAAGATATTTGAGTCAAACCAGTCTTTCACTTTCGTGATCCAGTGTGTTCATTAACACCATCATATATATCGATTGAAGGCAAATTCACAAGTTTTGCTGACGACACGTCTATACTTTGGCATAGAAGAAGCACTGATACACTAAAAATTAATGGTAGAGCATGATATAGGCAAAGTTAAACAATGGTGTGATGCCAATTTATCATCTTTAAATAGATCAAAGACTAATATAATGCCCTTTAAATCTCACCTGGACCATATAATTCTTGAAGAATACATCATTCATCATAAACTAGAGAACATATTTTTAGACTTCAACAAAGACAACAAATTAAAATTTGGAATGCATATTAGTATACTATGCAAAAAATTATCCTCAAGTTATTATGCGATAAAGTCTATCTCTAACTCTTTGGACCATCACTCTGCTAAAAAAGCATACACTGCACTTTTCTAATCCCACTTGCGGTACGGAGTTTGTTTCTGGGGGAGCAGCTGTCAAAACTTAATAAGTCATGTTTTCACAATTCAAAAGAGAGCAGTGAGATTCATTACCAGTCTACTGCCTCTTTATTTTAGAAAAAGTCTGCCTAATGGACAAAAAGCACAAAGATAACATCTCGAACTCAACTCAAAGTTATGCCACTCGTCTCACATTCAATATTCTTCTTCCTATCCCCTCATCAGCACAAATTAAAAACTCGATTCTTTATAATAGCAAAAAATGTTTCAATCATCTCCCCCTTCCAATCAGGAAGTTAACATGGTACAAATAGTTTCGAAAAAGATTTAAAAAATCACTTCTGCTAGATAAAGCTTATTATAGTACTGAGGAATTTCTTTCAGATGACTTTGCAACTTATAATTGCAACTTATAAACATTTGTATCACAGACTTTTACCATAGACTTTTTGAAGTGTGCTTGAGCCATATTAATATATTGTTTTAATTCTTGACCTTTGTTTTAATATTTCTGATTGTTTTAGTTTTTAAGCCTGCTTTGTCAACATATAAAAAAATTTATCACAGACTTTTTGAAGTGTTGAGCCATATTAATATCTTGTTTTAATTCTTGACTTTTGTTTTAATATTTCTGATTGTTTTAGTTAAGCCTAGTTCTTAAGCCTGCTTTGTCAACATATAAATTTTTTTATCACAGACTTCTACCATAGACTTTTTGAAGTGTGCTTGAGCCTTATTAATATCTTGTTTTAATTGTTTTATTGTTTCAGATTGATTTATTTCTTAAGCCTGCTTTATCAACATATAAAAATTTTTATCACAGACTTTTACCATAGACTTTTTGAAGTGTGCTTGAGCCATATTAATATATTCTTTTAATTCTTGACCTTTATTTTAATGTTTCAGATTGTTTTATTGTTTTAGTTCTTAAGCTTGCTTTGTTAACAAAACCTAAACTTTTATGACAATAAAGCATTTCTGACTCTGACATTGCAGAATGCCTGGTTAATTTTTCAGGCTGTTTTGGCAGTGCGTCGGTTCAATTTGAATTCGTAGAGAAAAAGCCAAAAATCCCTCAATCACATATAATAATAAGCTGGAAAGAGGCAAAAAATCAAAATTGAAAATAAAATATAATAAGCATCCATGTAGAGTTCAAGATTATCTGTCGATCAGTATGAATATACTACAACACAGTAGAATAAATACCTATTGAAATATGGAGCAAAAAAGCACATGACATTAAAACAGGCAAAACTTTTGTAACAACCCAATATTAATATACTTTCAATTGTAATAATTTTTCTGTTTTGTTTCAGAACTTAGTGTTTGCAATTTTATTGGCAAACAACAAGTTGATAACTCTGGTAAGAATGAAGAAATACTGCCTGCATCCTGCTGATTTGCACCTGATCTTCAACCTAGTTCAGGCTTCCGAAAGTCTGAAAAACTCCGAAAGCTGGACCCCCCTTTGCCTACCGAGATTCGACTCTAGTGGCTTCCTTTACGGTCACGTGTCCTACCTAGCCGAAGACTGTCAAGCCTGTCTGCTGCTTCTGACAGTCGAAAGGGATATATTCTTCACCTTAAGCGACGCTAAGCAAAAAATCGTTGAAAAGTTGAGACGAGCCAACTGCTTGGAGGCGATAAACGAATCGATGAACTCTCAGGAGGATAGTTGCGCCAGCGCGGGTTTCCCGGAACTCAGGCATTACCTTTACAAGTGTAAGTCTACGGCCCAGTTCCATCAGCCCATCCTAAGCGCGCCCTACACGCATTCGAAGCCTCACCTCATACGAATCTACAAGAGGGCTAATCAAATGTTGCACAACGTTTCACGGCCGCTGAAGTTGGTTTTCGAGCGGAGCTCTCGAGAAGCGGTTCTAGCGTGGGAAACTAAAGGCTTCGAGTTGTATGTTGTTTTCGAGCCTTTGGTAGACACAGGCGTTGCCATTAATATCATAGGAAAGTTGTTGAACTGGATAAAAAAGCGCGAAGACAAGCTCTTTCATTTGAACGCTCCGACCTTCTGAAACAGTGTATTATATAATAATTTTTGTATATATTAGTAGTTGTATAGTAGTTGTATTATTGAAGAATTCAGGCTGTATTTTGTATGTATATTTTGCAGCTAGAACACTTCCTCAGTCACGAAAAGGAAGATGATTTTGACTTTGGCTGAAGTTGTTTTTTAATTTTAAGTCTATTTAAATAGAATAATAAACAAGCACTATGTAGAAGTTGAATAGTTTGGGAGTGGACGAAACCGTGGACGTTAAAAAATAAATGGGCTCAGCAAACCAATATCTACAGCACAGATTGTGTTGAGGTCACTAGATTTGAGGGATCATCGGTTATGGGGACAAAGGAGAACTGCAATGAACTGTGACTTCCCCTTCACCGATAGTGACGAACACAATTCAACTAATTGGGTGATAATATAAACAAAATTATAGACAATAATAATAATATTTCTTATTAGACTCAGTTTATTGATAATTTTAAGTAGAAGTATCAAGTCTCTATATTTTCCACTTGCCATGAGAGAAGGTACGCTCAATATGTGTTCTAATGTAACATAGTCATAGTTACATAGTCGCATCTTGAATACAATATATCTCAGAAAATTGTGCTGTGCAGCCTAGAGTTTCACTTTACGTGTAACGTAATAAGGGGACCAAACTGTAAAACAATAATAAAGTTGAGTTCTAACCAGGGAAAAACTAAGAGACTCAATAACAATTATGTTAGCAAAATCTCAGAGGGTTCTCTTTATAAGCCAAGCATATTCATAGATTTCTAAATCACAGCAGAAATGTGTGATTTACAGCCAAGTGTGGAGTCTAGAATCACACCTTGATTTTTGGCTTCAAAAACAGAATGTAAGGTCAAAATATATTATATTCGAAAGTGATTGGGTGATGTATTCGATAGTAATACAAATTAAGGAACAACAACAAAAATTAATTAGCGCTCCAGGACGGCTTGATTGATCCCAGTGACGCATTTGCTTTTTCAGCTGCAGGAAAACCCGGAAAAATATTCAGCACCACATCATCTCAAGATCTTGATCTGCCAATGTCCTCTCTTTCATACAATGAAATGGAGGCTCCAATAAATTCAAGATATCGCCAGAATATTTAGTGACACAACTATCGTCAAAATTAAACCCGTCAGTTTCGTCTTTGACCTATGCGTAATAATGACCAGACTCAACGCCAGAACCACAGTGAACAATGACTGTATGAAGATTATAAGAGTTTGGTGCTTCCTTCATCGATTGAGTCATGTTTAGAGATCATCAGTGTTATTATTAGATTGACTGTTGCCTCAGCTAAACTTGTTGTCTTATAATAGTCAGTTATTTGGCGCATATTTGGCAATACAGTTGAACATCACTCATTGAAAGTTCTATTTTCAGATGATTTAACAATAAGCTTTGCACGGACTGATTATTATCAGTCATATTAGGAAACGCTAGTTGAAGTTCCTAAAAGTCACATGTTGCTACCTCTTGAACATTTACTACAAATATGGCATTTGTATGCGTACACCAGTTAGATGGGCAATCTATATCATTTTGTGGTTTCAATGTATCGGGCTCACTTTCAATTATTTTAAAACATTTTAAATCGTCAGCAAATAGCAAAGCTTCTTCTATGAAAACAGCAAACTCGATCGTTAATAAAAAGGTTACAGGACAGAGGTCCCAAATGTGATCCTTGTGTAACAGCCGATGTAACTGCGACGGTATGAGAATAGTAATATGATTAACACTGATAATTTGCATTCTTTCTGTGAGATAGCATTTGAGCCATTGCAGTATCAGCCTATCAAAGCCATATGAACAAAGTTAATGAAGCAACAGCCCTTGATTAACTTTGTCGAATACTTGCATAAAAATATATACGACTCTGCATAGATTTTTATTTTTTATTCAAGAAATGCTAAAGAAAACACCTTCATGGATAGATTTTTTTTTGACAAAGCTATAATCACCTCCAATCAAACAGCATCTTTCCAAAATTCTTGATTTTGGAATGGTCCTAATCGTCACTTAACGAATAAAACTCGTGATCATACTTTTTGTAGTTAACAGGTAGTGTGGTATTCACGAGGATTAAATAGTTGTGCCTCTTTTCCCACAATCTATAACTTTTCAATAGTATCTGAGTTTCTACAAAATCAATGATGATATTCAACACATTAACAGCAACATGTATAGTACCAGCAGGTCGACGCAAAATGCAATAGTACAATGGAAGGAAGGCGAAATAATTGTTAATAAAGGTAATTAATAGATATCCCAAGATTTTTTGGCCATTAGATTCGTTAATATCTGAAAGATGTTGAAAATAGTCTTCCTTCTTTCAACTATTACATTATATATCATTCAGTAAGTAGAAAATTAAAAAATATCATTTTTTTTAAATATTGACGAGATATCAAAATTTATTGGAAAAAATCAACAAATATAGTGACAATCAGCAAAAACTTTCAGATGAAATGAATATTTAGATATTCCATTTTAATTTTAATTTTTGTATTTTGTAATCTCTTTCACGATCCCTCTCTTTGTCCTTTTTATGTTTATCCCTGCTATGCTGTTTTTCTCTAGACCGACTCCTATCTCTTTTTCGTTTCTTCTCCTCTTTTGGTGCTGTCTCTACCACATCATACTTCGAGTCGTCCTCCAATTCGATTTCTTCATCCAACAGGTCTTCCAGAGCAGAAATTCTGGGTTCCAATTCATTATTTTCTTCAAGAACATGTCGCTTCTGTGTGCGAGGAAGAATAACGTCACATACCTTGAAAAAGGAATGGAAGTGTCAATATTGAAAGTCGTCAATCCATTACTAAGACATTGTAGCCAAAAAAAGTTTATTGGGAATACGTCTTTCTAATTGTACTAAAATATAAATTAACTAGATTGAAGTGCATTTAAAAATACAACATAGTTACAGACTTCTTTGTAAAAAGTTATTTCTCAAGCAGTTCATTCTGAAAACTACCTGAATCCTCATTGGACTATTAGAGACATTTGAAATAACTGTCCGAACATCATCCAATTATTAAATATTAGGTTACCAATGAATCGATTATAGAAATAACTTAAAAATAATATAATGGTGTTCATCGTATTACAATTGAATCATCAATATAATGTTGTTTACTGCCAACTAGATGTTCACCTTAGAATAATCTGAGATAAACTAATTTACAAATGCAATACATACCCTTTCTTCCCTGAGTAACTCGTCAATGAATTCATCCATATGAATCAATTCAAACTGTGCCTGGCGATTCTGTCTCCGCAGTTTCCTGTAGTCGTTGTAAAGAGGTTCCAAATACTTATAACAATCCAAAGAAGTTCCAGTGAGCCTCATATAAAAAGCTCCCAGAGCTCTCACATACTTGAACTCTTCGTTCTTTATAAACTCAACAACGATGTCCTTCTCGGGCTGAATCTGCAGCATTTTGAGTGTCAAACACAAAAATGGAGTTGGTTTAATATTTCCTCCAAAAACGCCACCAATAAATCTCAGTTCCATGGCTTTGTCCACCAAAAGTTCTGCAGTAAGAGCGAAACATTCTTCTTTCCAGTACTTGGAATCGTATATGCGGGAACGAATTATTTTCTCTACCAAATACTGGGGGTTTGTTCCATGAATGGATTTCGCATCTTTCACAGTTCTATTAGCCATTTTTTTTCGTAAACTATAACGTTTATAGTCTACTTTCTTTAAATGTTGACTTCATAACATCTACAGAATATACTAATCAAAACTTTGTAATTACTTTATGTACTATCAATAATTACAACATGACGGACGAACGACTACATGTCAAATGTCAATATTATGAACAGGGTTGCCACCCGTTATTTCATTTTCGTTCTGTGATTGAAATAATAGGCCTTCGGACTCGATTCATCCACAAAACTCTTGACAGAGAACACAGTACTTGTGATGCACTATTTGGAACATTTGGTGTAGTAATGAATATAACTGTATTTTTTATTCCAACACCGAACCGTTATTTCAACACAATTAAAATAACGGTTTGTTGTTGGTATAAAAACTCCACTAATGGAGAACATAGTGATATGTTTAACTCCAGCAATAATGAGTTTCAATAATAATAAAAATGATTCTACGCAAATACTTGTAGGATTATTGTCAAACTTAATAATCTCCCCATGTAGCTTACCTACAAACTCTCTATCCCTAAATTAACCAAAGAGTACCTACACCAACTAACAACCACGTTTTTAAATTTCAAATGTTTTAAATAGTTTTTATACTTGATAATAAGATAAAATACGAAACGGATCGTGGAAATTAGACAAAAGTGTTTTAATTCATTTCATTAAAGTGATCAAAAAGTTCCACAAAATAATCGAGTCATCAGTTACACAACATACATTGTTGATGTATTTTTGTCTTTTCTCAGCTTATTACCATATAATGATACATTGAGTGATTTACCGCCAATTATTTCTACGAATTTAAATTAACCGAAGCGTTGCCGAAACAGGCCGAAAAATGAACCAGGACTTTGACAATATAGTGTTAATAAACATAATGTTATATATGAACTAATATAATGAGAATCAGCAAAGAGCTTTCAAATAAAATGAATATTTAGTCATCTGATTGTAATGATAGAACGGTAGCCTGGTGTGTTGACGTGGGTAGTTTGCTCCACTCACTTAGTCGACCGCTGTGTGAATAGGAGGTTCGAACCGAGGGTCCGGACGATCGATTTTCACTTCCCATCGTCCAACCCGTATTGGGAATCACACGTTAAAAGTTAACACCTCGTTAGTCCTTAGCACGAACAAGTTTCGACTTTTGAGAGTTGTCGTTTTGTAGGTGGGTTATCGGGAAAACAGATACAGATTTTAACAGAGACAAATTGTTTAATGGTCTATTCAACTACTTCATCTAGAATATGAAAGATTGCACCCAGATATCTCCTTTTTAATTATCTTGCTTCCAGAAAATACATTGCGCTGTGTAAAACCATTATCATTTTCCAAGAATCTATCAAATATGAACCTCACAAAAAATAATATTAAACAATTTTGGAACATGCGTTTATTATTCATTTATAATATAAAAATATATTATTTCAATTAGATTGAAGTTAATCATCTTTTTTTTCGATTTTGTTGACAAGCTCTGTCTGTTGATTAGACCACTAAAAAGGTGTATAAAAATAGGTAACTTTGATCAACTCAAATCTTTTGATTGTGTCGATATAGAATTGAAGTAGGTATGTGATTTTAACATTGACATTTTAACATTAAGATATCATTTCACATGCATGAAGGGAAAAACCCAAATTTTACTCTTGAGAAAACAGTACTTTTCATTATTCTATACCTAATCTTTGGATGAATATGAATGGCTACCTGGATTTAGCTAATTCACATAACTAGGAAAAGATACGAAATTCATGTGTCCAATATATTACCTAATATATTTGAAAGGCTACTTGGCTTCAATGGATTCTAGTTAACTTTCAGGTATTGAAGGTAATTTATTGATAATATTGATACAAAGGACTTTCTTATTGCTGGTTCTACAACAATATATGCTTGTTCTTATTAACGTAGCGAATTTTCCAAATAAATATGGAAATTGTTCAAACAAATTAGAAAAAAGTTTTCTCCGAAACATTACCAACACTTCTATAAATCATGATAGAAAAGTTTATTGCAACCGTGTTTGTGCCAATATAAAGACCAGAAGCAACTATGGAAAGAGCTGAGGAGAAACCTAAATGTTACAAGTAGAAAACCTTACGTTGCAATCCCAGAAAACTTGAATGACGCCAGTCAGATCAACTCCCATTTTGTAAACAGTGTCCCAAATTTCAATAATTATAACAAAGAACTTATTGAATTTTATAATAACAACTTGTCCCCGAATCTGGACGGAAATAATTTCGAATTTCACCTGTATCTGAAGAAGACGTTGTAGATACAGTACATTTCCTGAAACCTAATGCAACTGTAGTGGATGGTATTAATATTACAATGATAAATATATACTTTCCGATAATAAAAAATGCTTTATTACATATAGTCAACTGCTGTATTCTTGAAAATTTCTTCCCAACTCAATGGAAATTTGCGTATGTCATACCTGTCCCCAAAACAGCAGATATTTTAGACTACAAAGATCTCAGATCCATAAGTATTCCAACCACCATGTCTAAGTTATTGGAACGCATTTTGAACAAACAAATCAAGGAATATAGATATAAGTAACTTTAATCTGATGCCTCTCTTTCAGTCGGCTTTCAGACCTCTACATAGCTGTACAACACCTATGCTTAAAATAACGGGTGACATGTTGGCAGCAATAGATACAGGAGACATCTCGTTATTGATCTTAGTGGACAACAGTAAAACATTAAACTCATTGAATCCAGAAATACTTATATCCATGCTCAATTATATTGGCTTCTCTAAGACAGCCGTTAAGATGATGCAAGAATGCATCACAAATAGACATCAAATGGTGAAACTCGAAGGCGAACTATTTGAATCGGCGAGATTAATGTGCGGTATTCCGCAAGGATCTATACTTGGGCCTTTGCTTTTTGGTTTATATATCTCAAATATACTGACTAAGATAAATCTCTGTAATTATCATGCCTATGCTGGTGATACCCAACTTTAAACCAGAATTGCTGAATGGAGCTGTTGCTGACATCAATACTGAACTTCAAAACATTTATGATTCTTCTGTGAAACACGAACTGCAGTTCAATCCTAATGAAACGCAAGTTCCAAGTTATTATGCTAAAGGTATTTACCTCAAGTAAATATTTCTCTGAATGGTATAACTCTAAATATAGTACCGGAGGTAACAAATCTTGGCTTGATTTTGGATAAATCAGTCGCAATGGCTGTCAATGAAAAATCGTTTCTTATTGCAAGCTCTAACCTTATTTCACAATATAATCATCAACAAATTACCGCAGTATCTTTATGACAAAGTTCGATTTTGTGAAAATGAACATGAAGTGAATATCCGACACAAAAATACAATAACCGCCCCCCCCCACCACAGCACAGCACTGTTTGATAGATTGTTCAGTTTTTCTATCTACAATAACTATAATAGTCTCCCCACGTACCTAAAAAAAATTGAAACTGCCACTTTTCAAGCTACAGGCTCGTATGAAAAACAGCTATCGTGCAACTAAAGTCTCGCATAAAATGCAAAAATTCAAGTCATTCCGTAAGCATTATGAACTACCCCTCTTTAATTCCTTTTATATTTTTTCTCTCTCTTACTACATAGGCACTATCATTTTTTGTACATTATATGTTTGATGAATACTTTAAGTTTTGTATATTGTAAAGGAGTTTCAAACGTTTTTTTAATTCATCAAATTGAAATTTTAGCAGCAAACTGGTCTTTTTTTGTATCTATTAGACCCGGACTAATAATTATAAATGAAAAAAAATCAGACAAATGTTCAAATAGCCAGTTCTATGACATACTTCACTCATCAGACATGTGTCACATTTGAAAAGCCAAAATTCAAAAGATGAACATTACTGCTTATAAAGCATTTAATTTTATTTTGGCCATCGCAGTAAATTACTTCCTCCATTTCTTCACTTACATTCTGTTCTGTGAGGACCCCGAAAAATCCTGCGTGCTATTTCCATGAGACGCGAATACAATGAACAAGTTCACGAATACCCCGACAGAAATCGACAACTACGTCGAAATTTTGAAAAAGCAGCTCTATTTCGCTGTCCTCAAAGGAAAGACCAGCCTCAAGTTGAAGAATAATTTGAATACATTCTTCTTCTCCACCGATGATGAATTGGTTTATGAAAATTATTACAGTGACTTTGGACCGCTGAATATTTCATGTTTGTTCAAGTTCTGCGTGAAACTGAGGAAGTACCTGCAATATGCCAAAGGTCTGAAGAGTGTGGTGTACTATACAAGTGATCACCCAGATAAGAAAGCTAACGCGGCATGCTTGATAGGGCTGTTCAGTGTTATCTACTTGAATTTCCAACCTAAAGATATATGGAGAGCACTGAGCGAATTAGGGCCATATAAGTAAGTGATGAACAGCAAATTAATTTTTTTATTCTGACATGAGTTCAAAACTGATTAGGAATATTTTTTTCATTAGATTTTCTGGTAAATATTCAGAATGTCGCGGGTGAGAGAATTTCAGAAAATTGTTGTTTGATCTTACTTTTAATGATGAGCAGGAAACTCCTCTGAAGTCAATCAATCAATCAAAACTGAAAACAACAAACACAATCAGAGATTTGGGAATCACTCTCGACCCAAAAATGTAATTTTAACCCCATATTGCAAATGTTACGTCTAAAGCACTAAAAAAGGTTAAGTTTCATTCTTAGATCTGCAAATGAATTATATCTCACTTCAATGAAAATCATAAATTGTTCAATTTTAGATCAATAATCGAATACAATTCCCCAATTTGGTGCCCTTCATATCATGTGGATATTGATATGCTTGAAAGTGTTCATAATAAGTTTTTAAGGTACTCTGCATGTAAACTGGGATGTCACATTGGTGAATATGACTAAAAAATTATAAATAGAAGATTAGAATCAGATCTTATACTAATTCATAAAATAATCAATGGTAGCGGAACTTAACGTACTTATAACTTTAAATGTGAATTCAAGGAGAACAAGAAATTTGGAAATTTTCAATTGTCGCACCAACTATGGCCGGAATGAATCTGTAGGTAGAATTTTGAGACTTGCAAATACATACAATGTAGATTTAGAATTTTTCAATTCTTCTTAGGAAACATTTGAAAAGACTGGGAGAAGAAGGTAATCCATTAACTTATTTTTACGATTTTCTATTTTTTTTTCCTCAGGATTTCATCGGAAGTTTCCATGTTTTCAAAAATAACAATATACAGAACCATTATACAGCCATATTTTGATTATTGTTCCGCTCTGCTTTATCTTTAAGATAAAAATAATATACAGAAGTTACAGAAACTGCAAAATCGAATTATTAGTATCATCTTAAAATGTAACAAATACACTCCTATTCAATGCATGTTGAGTATCCTCAAGTGGTATGATGTGGCAGATAGACTGTATTTCTCAAGTATTATATTCATTTATAAAATAACAAGAAATTCAAAAACATTACAGCAAAATTGTAAAACAAATANCATCCATGTTGGTATTTTGTTCTTCTATGGGAAAAATTTCCCATTCCAAGATACCAAGGTTCCATCATCAAGATACCAAGTGATGTAGAACTTTCCAATCTATCAGTTTTGAGAAATTGAAGCCAAAACACTGACTATAAGTATTTGATTTCAGACCATACCTAGACGCTTCTCAATACCCTGGCGGTTTCACTCTGAAAATACCAGACTGCATATTGGCTATCCAGAAAGCCTTGTCCTTCAATTTCTTCAACTTCGATGACTTCAACGTGACGGAATATGATCTTTATGATAAGTTACAGTATGGAGATATGAATTGGTTGGTGCCAAGAAAATTTTTAGCTTTCATCGGACCGTCAGATAATAAAACTGCTCATCCTCCGGAATTCTACATCAAGTACTTCCTGAAAAACGATGTAAAGACTGTCATCCGGTTGAATTCTATCATTTATAATTCAGAGGTGTAAGTACGAACCTAATAATTATCAGCTATAATATCCCAAGGACATTGATAACTAACGAAATAATTTTATCACAGTTTTCGAAAGCACGTTATTTGGTAACATCCCGACGCCGAAGGCGGAGGGATGTTNCGTTAACCAGCTGTCGCACCCCTACGAACAACAACCCTCAGAAGTCAAACTTGTGCGAGCTCTCATCTTTTAACGGATGACTCCTAACACGGCAAGTGACTCCTAGCAAGTGAAAATCGATCGTTCAACCTAGGGATTGAACCAGCGACCAACACGGCGGTCGATTTGAGTGAATGAACAAAGCACCCACATCGAACCGACCGGCTACCGTCCGTCCAACTGATACACATTATTAACGATGCCGATATCTTACGAACTAAAACACATTTTGAATACGTCTGATCTTTTTGTGAAATTAAAATATCACAAAAAATATCCGATATTACTTTTTTGATAAGATAACTAATCGACTGGTCAATCGTGACAGGTACACCCTTTGCCCACCCATATTTTATTTTTTATTTAAGAAGGAGAATGATATAAAAATAAAATAGCTACTTAAATCACATCTATAAACCATCTTCCAAAGGTACAAATTTTATTTAGGATATCAAAAAATGGGTTATATGAAAATTATCATCTTAAATTTTAAAATTGGGCAATGCCACCCCAATTGACCGGTATTGAAGTAATTTCCAGAGAGGGCTCAGTTTTATTAAACAAATCGCTGGCAGCAACTGTTACAAGGTAGATGTTATCGACTTTATTCTTTTCAAAAAAACTACAAAAGCTAGCCATGGACCAGGTCTACTCACATTCAAGAAACGATAGCGTCTGTTATAGATCATTGTTATATTGTTATGTTTTTCCCCGTGGGTTTGACAATTCAATTCACAAATTATACAACCAAAGACTTTAACTAAAACTAAGCGTAATAAGTACTGTGAAATATGAAATTTCGACATTCTAGAGATAACTTCGGTTAATTGTTTTGCCATATTTCGACTAATTTCTAAAAGCCATTGCTTCATTTTTTTCAATGAAGGTTCTTCGAGTTGATTATTCTCAATTCAACTGGTCATTTTTTGAAGTTTTTAAGTACCAATAATACCTATATGACTTCTATGTGTTAATGTTTCGTTAACAAGAGAAAAATATATTGTATGATATTTATTTTTTATTTGATGTGGATGTTGAACGTTAAGTACTTTGTTCATTTTACTTTTTTCTCCAAGCAGAAGGTTCTCACAATATAATTGTTTGATATCGAGAACATGACCTAATTTAAAAAGTTCATCAGATGAAAGGGTTCGATCTTTTCCAAAGACTATTTTGAGTATCCATTTTTGTGTGGTCTTTAGACAAGACAAATGGTTACTATATGCACTTCCCCGAGCTACAATTCCATATTTCAATTTTGACTATACATTATACATCATCATCAAATTCTAACGGAGTAATCTTTTCCAGTTTTACCCAAGTAGGTATACAACACTTCGACCTCATTTTTCCTGATGGAACCACTCCCCCAAAAGACATTCTTTTGAAGTTTTTGGCGATAGCTGAAATGGCTCCTGCTGCTATAGCTGTGCATTGCAAGGTGAGATCACAACCAATTTATTCCAATGATTTGTTAAGGACTCTCTCAGTGTACAAAAAAAGAGAGTAGAACTGGCCTTTACAGGTAGATTCATTCATTATAAAGTAACCATACAAGTAAGTAATATGTAAGAGTATAAAATAGTTGTAAATTAGAAGTAAATTTCAGTTCACGCACGAGGAAGCTATTTTATAGGCAAACCGAACTATATTAATTCGTTTCAGAAGATGAGTTAAAGGGCACGGCAGGAGTGAAGGTAATCGCATTGCCGACTCTTTAGCCAAAGAAGTAGCTGGACTACGGCCTGATGACTTCGACAATTGCGGAACTAGCCAAACGTCACACCCATGCTCAAAGGATGCAGTCTTGCCAGGATTACCCCGGGCGACCCTAGGAAGCTGGTGCCGAAGACATATCTGGCGATGGCCAGGAAAAACCTATGCTTAACAGTAGGCCACTGTCAACTAAGGAAACACCTCCATATAATGAGGCTAGTGGACACACCTCTATGCAGGATGTGTGAACAGGAAAATAAAACTGTCAGGCATATCCTGACCTGACCACCTTCCTGGAAAAGACAGGATGGACGATGACCTAGGAGGACAACTTCTCGGGAGGATTTACAATGGGACACATGTGGCCTAAGTGCTGTGGGCCTTCACTCACCCTCCCTACTCTGTAGATACNTTCAAAAACAAGTTGCTTATGAAATCTCTTATGGAAATCTCAAATGAAACAATTTATCATGTACCAGAACATAAATTTTGAGTTCATTGAAAATGTTTAAATCGATAACAGAATATATTTTCATATTCAGGTTGTTTCAAATGTTTTGTTCATTTTTATGAGTCCACTTTGAGCTATGATATCTCAGTGAATACTTTAATTCAAGTCAATCGAAATGAGCACCGTTTGAATCAGTGCACTTTTGCCAACGGAACACAAATCGATTAATTCCTTCACCATGAAAATTGTGTGCTCGGGTTTCGATAGAGTCGACGAAGGCCGTTTTTGCCTAGTACTGATTGGTGAAGGTTCTACCTGTAAGAAAGTACTTTGAGTGCTTGAAAAGATGGTAGTAGGTTGACGAGGGGTTATAGTGAATCACACAAGCCGCTGATCACCAAACAGTGACCATGAACTTATTTTAGTGTGTTTTTGTCTTTGAGAACTACCTGGGTGGCTTACTACTGTCCAACCACTGCTCAGAGCGTCTCCTGTTGTCGTAGAGTAACCACTTTTCATCAAATGTAACGACCCGATCCAAAAAAGGATCGTTTTGGTCGCGCAAAATCAAAAGAGAACATCTCAAAACATGACAATTTCTGCCAATAGATCAAATCGTGAGGCACTTACTTTTCGAGCTTCTCGACCTTTCTAATACTAAAATTTTTACTTGTTACGATCGGTTCCGGTTTATTGAATTATTAAAAAAAAAGCCGTAGTAGACATCAGACAAACGCTATTTTGTCTTTCCTATCTCCCTTCAAATTTCCTGGAGAGGATGGACGGTATAGCATGTAACAATGCACTACCTAAATCTATAGGGTCATATCTGCATAGAAAAGGTATAGAATCGACCATAACTGTCTGGACCTATGCCATGCTGGTAAACCGAACTGCAACTTCGTCTCTTCAAAGCGAGGCCATAGAGTTCAGGGTGCGAGTTCAAGCGAAGGCTGCTCTCATGGTGGGGTACAATCTTCCTGTTTGTTGACGCTCCTAATGGCTAGTCTGCTTGACAGAAGAAAAGTAAATCTACAAGCTTATGCAGATGTTCTTGTCATCTTGGCAAGGTCCACATCGGCAAGGTTAGGCTTTAATATCTTTCGAAGCATGATGGACGTTGTTCACAGTTGGTACCTGAAAGAGCAGATGTCAGCCAACCCCAGCAAAACTGTGATGATTCCCTTCACCAGGAGAAGAAAATTGGATGGTCTAACGCCACTTTTCCTCAATGGTGAGGTCATTACATTTGGAACGAAGGTGAAATAACTTGGCATTGTCCTTCATTAAAAAACTTACCTGGAACGCTATTTGGAAAAAGTTTTACACAAAGCCAGACTGTCCCTATGGACATGTCGAAGGATTTGTGGTGAAACTTGGGGTTCAGGTCCCCAACAAATCTATTGGATTTATGTCATGATTGTCAGACCAATGATCACTTATGGTGCAATTGCCTGGTGGCCAAAGGCTTTACAGACAACGGCCAGGCGGAGCTCTCTGGCTTGGAGAGACAGGCTTGTCTGGCCAACAGTACCATACCTTCAGCGGCCATCCTTCTAGATCTACCTCCTCCCCACATTTTTTTGAAGAGAGAGGCTAAATGAACTGCATATAGACTTGTGACATTGTCAATTGCACAAATCAATTTAATGCGGAGTGCAACAGACTGTTGCTTGACAGTGGAAGTCACAGCATTCTGGAAATGACCTCTGTCTTTATGCCTCTAACTGTCAACTACGAACTGCCTTATAAAGTACTCTTTCCGAGTAGAGAAGACTGGATCTTTCGAAAGAACGAAATATTAAGAGCAGATAGTTGTTGGTTCACAGATGGATCAAAAACACCTTTTGGTTCTGGTGCAGGTGTTTTCAGTCGCATTCCCGCACAGAGATATCAACCTGCCTAGGAACCTATGCGACTGTATTTCAAGCGGAAATATAGGCTACTGAATTATGTGCGCAGAGATTGGAAGAATCCTACTCCAAGTCAATAAAAATATTCTCGGACAGTCAAGCGGCATTGGAAGCTTTTGGCTCCTACCGGGCAACGTCTAAATTGGTAACAAATTGCCAAAAACGACTCTTTTCGATAAGAAGACAGATTGTCTCTGGTCTGGATTCTTTGCCATACTGGCCTGGAAGACAATGAGGTTGCTGATTCCCTTGCAAAGAAGGTTGCGGCAAGCAGCTTATCGGACCAGAACCTGTCATTGACATCGCTTTAGGCTTTGCCTAATGAAGAGTACTTCGTTTGGAGATTGTTACCAAAGAAGACCACGGCAAAACCCGGAAACCAGCTTAAACACTTAACCCAGTAGTTCAATACTAATTTGAAATTCTGAATTTGATCATATATACAATTCAACCATTTCTATTTCAGGCAGGTCTCGGTAGAACTGGTTCTCTAATAGGTGCCTACCTCATAAAACATTATTGTTTGACAGCCAGAGAAGCCATAGCGTGGATGAGGTTGTGCAGGCCTGGTTCCGTAATTGGTCAACAGCAGGTGTGGCTTGAAAAACTCGAAAATTGGTTGTGGAAAGTAGGCAGCCAATACAGGTAATTCAGGCATTCTTTTAATAACCGTTATACAGACCGTCATGAGATTAACAGTGTCCATCACTTGAGTCTTTGTTGGAATCGTAGTTGACCTCTAAAAAGTGGAATTGGTTTTCTTCATGTCAAAACTTTTTTATGTTCAGAAATTCTCCTTTTGAAATTTCTTGGTCTATCATATATTTGTTTATTTTTATTTGTTATCTCTATCACCGTTTGACTTGTGCCTACCGTTTTGTTTTCTTCTGTTGGTAGTTATTTCGTCTGATGATTTTCCTATATATGGAGTGATTTGTAGATGTTACTAGTCGTTAAAAACCAACTCAACCTAACAGTTTGTTTTATGATATTGACAATTAACATATATAAGAAAAATGTAATGGCGGTTATTGTACATGTATAGTACGCCCTATGGTGATTGTAAAATAAAGAAACATAAAAGCATTCATCTTGTGTTGTTGGAATCATCAAACAGTAAAACTAACAGATGTTAGTGGCTATTTTCAATATAGGGGTGTATTTGGTTAATGGCTTGTTTGAGAAGTTTTTTGTCAATGATGTGATGAATTATGTACGGGTCGAAATTTTTCTTTACTGCGATCTGTTTTATTAAATTGAATTCATCATTGAAGTTATCTGTGGACATCGGGATACTGATGAGTCTGTTGATCATGCTATGATAAGCTGATAATTTATGTTGATTAATGGTTTTTGATAGTTGGGTCTGTGTTATTGAATATTGTCAAAACAAAAACTTTTCAGGAGTATACATCGATGAAAGTCTCTGTTGGAATACTCATATTGAGATGTTGAAACAACAAATCGGACCAATTTCAGAAATATTGTGGTTACCCCTTTTCTCTCATGCAGACCTACGACTTTGTAGGCACGTGTATGAATAGTGATAACGTGATAAATAGATAAGTACTGCTTTGATCGTTCCCATATTGATTTCAATTTAAGAACCACCGGTAGACAGCTGTTTCTGCCTATTGGGCATTGTCAGTACCCGGCAGGCAGTCCTCGATTGAAGACAAAATGTGACTAATCAAGAAAAGTACTTGATAAAAATAACTGCGTAAACGCAAGCAAGACATAGGTGGAACCACCTATTGGTGTAACACCCAACCAACTGGTTAAAAAAAACATTCACATAACGCTTCTTTGGGTGGTTCATGGCCAACCATAGGTTCCGTTGACCGGGTGTGTTTTCAACACCAACACTTTAATTTCGAACTCCCCTGTACCCATTACCGGTTTATGATTTTACTACCGATTTAACTTAAATTTCGCACCACGCGCTCACAAACAAATTAACTCCCCTATTTAGGCCACCTCCCTCAGCATCGAAGGCTGAGGGATGAGTCCCCCGATCTCGTCTCGACGAGTTCCGGTGACCGACCTTTTTGTGTCTCACTGAAGAAACTGCCAAGCCTTCGCGTCAACAACGCTATCCACAAAAATCTCATCTCAGCATTTTTTCAACCTTACCAACCGTATGATCATCGGCAGGATGCAATATATTCATTTGTTTAGTCTAACTCAATTTTAACATGACTACAACGACGCTCGAAGGTTCGACAGTCATAATGTAATTCAGCGCTTTTTCACTGGAAAAATATCGACACCGAAGAAACGGGTAATCGACCTCGAACTCAATGAATAAAATAATATTTTATGTTACTATCGCAATGGCAGTTATTACAATCGCTTCCATTTTGCCATTTGAAGTGATCTCTATAAAAAATTCAAATAATTAAGTTTAAATTATTCTTCCCCAGGATAAAAAAATATGGATCCGACGACAAGATCCCCAGACATAAATATGGAATCTACAGTAGGGAGTGGCCTCTGGAAAGAGAAAGGATCATCGTTGAAGCCAGAAGAAAAATCCAGAAATCATTCACAAAATCTCAGTTGGAAAAAATATCGAAACAGAAGAGATATTCAGCGAGCATGGATTCGTTTTCCAAAAACAGCAAGCAGCAGAAGGCTGTCAAGAAATTGGGACCTAATGAAATCATCCCCTACAAAAGCGTATCAAAGTTCATTTCTTCATTCCATGGGCCCAACAGAGACCCGGCTCCTTCAAATATGAGTAGCATTGTGCAGATCAACAGGCTGCAGCCTAAAATATCGAATTATCCCAAATCTGAGTATGCCGAGGAAAAAGTAACGAACCATTTGAAACTTCGCGAGAAACAGGATACCAAAAATGTGACTCAAGGAGACAAACTAAACGAAATCAAGGCGTCGTGGCTCAATTCTCGTAATTTAAGGGCAGAGTCCCTCAAACATCCTTCTCAAAATGAACGCTATCGCAAATTTCACCATGTTCCAAACTGAATCGATCGTTAAAAAAATTGTGAATGATATTTTTCGTTCTTGTTCTGAATTAATTCAAGGAACTAAACTTATTTTTGATTTTTCTCAGTGTTTTACTTCTACCCTGATTTTAGAAATGTAGCTGAGGTGCGAACATTGAGCTTGAGAAATATCGAAAATAACGGGTGATTTTTCAAGAGGTATAGAATTTGATTTTCAAAACAACACAAAAAATTTGAAAAAACTGATGAAATCTTTATTGGAATCGATAGAACGATCAATATAATTCAATGTTTGAAGATGATTTCATGCAAATGTTGTCCGCGGCTCCGCTTTTGACAGCGCATGCGCAAGGTCCAATTTTAGCACACTATTTCTAACATATCCACCGGTATTTCACGTATAAATGCTTCAATATTGGCTTCCAAGGCGTCAGTCGTTGCTGGTTTATCCCTGTAGACATCAGCCTTAACATGACTCCACAAGAAATAATTCAAAGGCGTTAAATCATACGATCTAGGCGGCCAATTGACGGGTCCCAAACGTGAGGTAAACTGTTCACCGAAGGCGGCTCTTAATTGGGCCATTGTTTCGGGTGCCGTGTGGCATGGGGCACCGTCTTGTTGAAACCACATGTCAGGCATGTCCAATTCTTCCATTTTGGGCAACAAAAAGTCGTCAATCATCACAGGATAGCGCTCGCCATTCACAATAACCTTCGGGTCATTGTCATCTTTGAAGAAGTACGGCCCGATGATGCCACCGACCCACAATCCACACCATACAGTGACTTTTTCGGGATGCATTGGTAGCTTGGTAGCTTTTGCAATGCTTAAGGCTGATCTTCTTTCCAGATGCGGCAATTTTGCTTGATAACGTATCCATTCAACCAGAAATGGGCCTCGTCGCTGAACACAATTTTTCTATAAAAGTGTGGATCTTCCCCCAACTTTGCCAGCGCCCATTTATCAAATGTTAGACGTTGTGGAAGGTCGTGTGGCTTCAATTCTTGCACCAGCTGTATCTTATAAGGTTTTACACCCAAATCCTTTCGCAAAATTTTCCACGTAGTGGAGTAACAGAGGCCCAATTGCTGCGAACGGCGGCGATTTGACATTTCACGGTCATCGCGAACACTGGCGGATACAGCCGTAATATTTTCTTCGGTCCTCACTCTATTTATGCGTGTTGGTGGTTTAATGTCTAATAATGTGAACAGGGTTCGAAATTCAGTCACAGGCTTCCGAATAGCTTCCTCAGTAGGCCGATGAAACTGCCCATGAATTGGAAGAAGTGCACGATGCACTTTCTTCACCGAGCATGAATTTTGATAATAAAATTCAATAATTTAGTCCGATATTCCATTCCGACGGAGTGGTATAATAATGAATAATAAAATTGATGAAGAGTTTTTGATAATTCTTGTGAGAGATGAGCCTTGCTTGTGGGACCAGCGAAACAGGGATTACCATAATAATGATATTGAGCCTAAACTATGGGAGGTTTTTGGCGACCAATTACTGGTAAAAGGGCTGATGCATGCTCTGAAGTTAGACTGACCAGTTATGTCGTTTTTTATGCCTTCAAGAAAATAGTTAAACGTTTCCATAGTCATACGATGGTAGTCCTTAAATTTATCCGGGTAGTTTCTTATAAGTAGGGAAGTTTTAAAAAATTCCCCTTCAGATTTATCTTCATTAAACTGATGCACCCATACCTTTTCCTACGTCTCCTATAAGGAGAACATTCTTTTCTTGTTTAAGCCACCACAAAAAATCATCTTCAAAGTTACTCATAATTACCCCCAAAACACAAATTTAATTGTAAACCTATCGGGTCGAACTGAGTCCAGTGTAGGCAGTTACAAGTCCGATGGTCGTCCCACATCGGGTCGGGAGAAATACGGATTCAATAAAGGTGCAGCCTTAGAAGTAACAAGCGCAGTTCTTGATTGTCCGTGTTTCTCGATTGCATTATTTCAAGTAACGCTTGAGAAAGCTATTGTATAACGAAACACGTGTCGCGGTTTATGTAAATCATACAATAAAATGTATAAATGAGTTTTAATAATGAATTTTCATCAAGTACCGGCCAGTTCTATTCAATTATGAATATTTGTTGTGGAAGGTACAGTTCTTGGGGGCTATTACATCTCAATATCATGGCCGAAGGTCACAGGTTTCATGCCTAACGTTTCGTCTGCTACTGCGGCAGAAGCGATGAAGTAACTGTCGAAGTGCCCGAATTGGTACTTGAGTTGTTGTTTCCAACGCAGAAACTGGAATTCTGTTATTCGACTCCGGTTTCATATTATCATAGGTAGGCGTGGATTGATTTCTCCTAATTGGATTAAGGGCAGGTAGCCAGATTTTATTAATGTTCATCTCCTCTTCTCTTCTATTGAAATTATCCCTGTGTTTTTGAATTTCTATTGCCTCTCTATATATTCTTGGATAGTTATTTTCAGTTTAATCGAGTATTGTGTATTTTCGTGTCTCTTGTGTTCAGGGAAATGGTTACCTACACATCTTTTTGTGATTTTTTAAACAGAAAGCTTGTACGATTATTTCAACATGGTGTCTTTAATAACTGCACTTTCAAATAAATGTTCCCATTTAAATTTCTCGTTATTCAGGTAATGAAATCGATTTGATTTGTGAATTGATATTTTGGTGTTATACTACTTTCCATAAAAACAACGTGAAGTTCTAATCGTAAAAATTAATGACTATGTATGATATGGGCATTGATATGGGCATATGGGCATGCTCCCCTCACTTGCTCAAACCCTGTACGCTTAAGGAAGGAAAATAAAACTTTTTTCATCGTTTTGTTCTATGGGTGTTGATAAACGAGACTTTGATTTAATCCGATTTGAATCGACTCGAGGAATATTCGATATATTTATACATGTTATCTTTTTATTACTCAATCGTGATTTTGATATTTCGGTACTTATAGATGAATACTGTGTATTTATTTAAGTCGTAGAGATAAGAACATTGGTACAGGTACAAAGTTATCGTATATTTCATGACTTGATATTCGTCTATCAATAAATAATGCCTTGTAAATTCGTAATAAAAAATGTGTTGAGGATTGTGATTGCCATTTTGGACGCAAAGGAAAAGAGCAGTGCTGAATCAAGTGGCTAGTGGATGATAACACAACAGGTGAGGTAATCGAACAATTTAAGAGCTTGAATAAATGTTTCATATAGTTAGTTACAAATCCAGTCCTAGATACTGAAATATAAAACCATGTAACTGTTGCGGCATTGGGAAAAACAATTCATGGGTTTTGCATGACGATGATGCAGCTGTTCAATCGTCATTTCTTGTTCGTCATTGCAAAAGTGCACACCAGAACTTCTTCGAAGATTGAAAGAAAACTCTGGCATTAGTATATTATATCTAAGTGGGACTACTTCGAAGGAACAAAATAGAAATTGATGAATACATAAAAATCTTTTGGTAAAAATTAATATACACCTTATTTTGTCAACATACCTCGTACATATGAAATGTCTGAGTCTTCAGTTTCATTATATTGTAGTGCAGGTAGCCAGACTTTCATTTCATCATGGATATCCTTATCCAAATTCAGGTAGCCAGACTTTCATTTCATTATGTTATGCAATTAAACTCAGGTTTGTGTTTGATATACCCTACAAACTACAAATAAAATAGAACAGACAGTCAGATGCTACAAATGCAATACGCACATATACAGACGGCTCAGAAACCAAGGAAGGCTCAGAGTTTGGAGTTTCCTCCAGATCACTAAGCCTAAGGATTGAGTGGGGAATGGGAAAAAATACCAGCGTGGTCCAAGTAGAACTGGCTGGTATCTCAATCGCCACAAAAGAAATAACCAGGAAAGGAATGTCTGGCAAAAACATAACAATCTGCATTGATGGTAGACAAGCCCTATTATCCTATTGTCTCAGGGATAGCACTAGAGTGCACCAAGATGTAGCCAAAGCCTCTGTAGATAATGGCATTATCCTGAGGTGGGTCAAAGGACACGACAGGAGTAAAGGTAATCACGTTTGTTTGAAGGTGATTGACAATGTTTCGTGATGAATTTCACTAGTTCGGACTTCCATTGTCTTCTATATAAAATGATTTGAAATCCCTGAAACAAGTAAAAAAGAATAATTAAAAAAGAATAGTTGAAAATAACAATTATATTAAGCAACAATAAACCTGAAATGAAATGATAATGAAATAACCTAAATGCTTCGTGCTCAATTTTTGACATAGAATCCAGAACAAATTCATTTGATATCGACTTAGATAAAACGTCTGCAATAATCACCTGTTCACCAGATCTGTACCGATTTTGTGAAGACATTGAGTCACAAGTTATCAATTTCGCATCAGAAGATATGCTGGAACTGAACAACTGCGTTACAGAAGCAGAAAATTCATCCAGAAAGGGGGAAAAAATTGAAAACGAAGACAGAGTGGGAAGTGAAGCATTTGCTGGTTCTGAGACTGTATCAGATCATTCAGATGTGGACAGTCTGGTGGACAACTGCGTTGAGGAATCCAGAGCCTTACGTCGTAGGATACGAAAGTCTCCCATTTTACCAATTGAAAGTCACAATGAAGAAAGCAGTGATGAAATTCAGAGCCACCTTGCTATACCAGTGGCAACCATGACTGAACCCAAAGGAGCGAGAAGGAAGTGGGACAAAACATTTTTATGTATCTTCTGCAAAAAATCGTACAGAAAACTCCCTAGGCACTGGTATATGAAACACCCTGAGGAGAATGAAGTTAGCAAAATATTGAGGTGCCCCTCGAATTCAAAGGAGAAGAAAAAACTGATAGCGGAACTTCAGAACAAAGGCATTGCTTTGAGTAATACTCATACCTTGAAAACAGGTGAAGGTTTTGTTGTACCCAAAAGAAGACCACGCAAAGGAATGGCCTTGGATATAAGAAATTACATATCTTGCCGATATTGTAACCAATTATTTCTCAAAAGCTATATAGATAAACACGAAAAGAAAAGATGTACTTTCAACGGGTATTCCAAAGGATGATGCTAATGAACTCGGCTGCCATTTTGATAAATTCACATCTATTCATGTCTACTTTTCAAGGAACCCATATTCTCAAGCTTCACACATCAATCCTCTGAGTATTGTAAGTGAGAAGGGTGTCAAAATGGCTTATCATTTTGAAGGGTTTCTGAATCCCTCGACCTGAATTCATAATTTTTTGAGAGTAATGGTGTTTCCAAAAATAACAATAGAATTTTGTATTCTGGCTATAGTAAAAATAGTTAGAAAATTGAGCAAAATAGGATGTCGTTTGAATTTTTTTTGTTACATTGTACCATTAAAAATTACTTTCACTGGAGAAAGAAATCTCAATATCACTGAACAACATGAGGAAAACCGTTATAAACTGGTATAAATAAAATATTAAATGAAGGTACTATTTTATTGGATATGAATCAAAAGCGCATTGAAGTCACGATAGGTCCCTTTCCATTTTGAAACTACAACAGCAACATCTACCCTTCTCAGCGAGTCGAACCTCGGGGAATGAAAGGATTCTTTGAAATCGTACGGTTTGGAAGAATAATTAACGTATATAACGTGTATAAATAGAATCAATGAAACACGATATTGATGTCATCCTAAGTTCGAAAAATTTGGAAAAATAATTTTATTATTTTCATGTGTTATTGATATAGCATTTACTAAAACGTGAAAATAATAAAACTGTTTCATCTTGGTGATTTGGCAAGGCAGACTAAATGAATGACAACTAATTTGACAGATGTAGCTTCAACAATATGGCCGTTAATAATTGTCAAAGTTCAAAAGTCCCTGTCGGTCTTCCAACAGTAAGAAAGAACTGCCGATCTACTCAATTTGAATTGCCTCACTTATCATTCTGTTGCCATATACTGGCGATCTGTTTGTAGCTTCTGAACTCGATGTTATGCCATGCATCCAGGTGGTGTTTGTATAAGATAGAGGTTGCAAAGTGCGAGTTTGTGTTCCTCTAATCTGACTGATATTTGCCTATTTGTTTTGCCAACATATTCACCGCTGTAATCTTCACATGTGATTCTCCCTTCAATTTATCTTTTGTATTGTTGAAGGAATTTATGATGATTCTCGTTGGGTTAAATGTTTTTATATGTTATGTCGTTTCCTATTTTATACGTAACTCCTTTGACATATGTCAGGGTGGCTTGGGATTCTTTTGTGTCCGTTTTCTTATTGTTTTCCTTCTTTCTTCGGCTTCGAAATTGTATGCTTTTCAACACGCTTTCATTAGCTCCACTTGTATGTTTATTTGTAACCGACTCCTGTACACTCGATTTTGACTAACTTCAAAGGGACAGATGCATTTTAAACTTTGTACGCTTATCAAGAATCGGTGACAAAGCAAACATTTTATGAGTTTGTTTCATTATCCTGATCAGGATCGCCAGGATTAAATAATTTCCTCACACAGTCTTTGTGTGAGAGCAAATGAGATAACCACACTGTCTGCGCATGCGTATATATTTTATATTAAAACAAATGGGCTTGCAATAGCAAGCCAAACTAAAACGTGGAAAATGAATAATAGTTTACAAAATAAAAAAACACGCTTCAATAGTAACACAAACTGAAAAAAATAATCGACACTAATTTGAGATTGTGTTCAACATCGATAATAAATCCTATGGCTGGATGTGAATAATGAACTTCAATAGGTCTGAAATCAGAATAAATCTATTAAAAAAAACTAATTTTGTTGNCGTTGGTTTTCTCTAGACTGTGTGCTGAATTTCTCTGTTGTGTTTTCTTCTAACAAGTAAATTAAGAAAAGATAAATCGTTGTTTTATTATATTACTGTGGTGAACTGGATTTTCTCGTGGAGTAATTTTGGGTATGCTTGCATTACAACTACAACCTATAACAACGTTTAAATAGATAAGTATCGACAAGGATAACTTCAGTTTCATGTTCAGCTACCAAGCAGAGTACATGAATCTGGCAAGTAGGATCTTGCCGAAACGTCGTGATGATGTTGAAAACGAACGGACGTACACACGCGATGACACTTCAGTTTTTTTTAAGATTCTCTAGCAATACATCTCACATTTCTATGAAAAATCCTAAACTGCAGAAGCTCCAAAGTGGGAAATTGAATCGTTGTTGAAATAAAATGAATAAATTGTTATCTTCATCAATAAATTTTATTATCATTTCAACACATCGAAAAACAAATCCAAGAAATCAACATGCCCTAATGACGTATCGAAAGTTCAAAGCCAATTCGGGCTGACATTGCACAAGCATAAAAATTAACGATTAGTCGTACCTAAAGGTAAGTTCTTATGATTTAACAAGTCGATCTAAAATAGTTATTGTCTTTACACAACAGTGATAGTAAATCTCAACTCAAAACGAAGATTCCAAAGTAAACATCCTAACCTTAAATACTTTGTACAATTGCAGCCACTGATTTATGATGAATTTGAAAGAAAACGACAAAGCAACTAATTTGTGATATGTACAGAAAAAAAGTATTGACCATAAGTAGGAAGAAGTTGAAAATGGAATATGGGAAACGAATATTTTTTTGTATGTCAAAAGTCTAACAATGATATGCTTATTCTAGATCTATCCAGTAGTTCTAAAATAATTATTACTTAGAACTAGTATTGTGTGATTCACTGAACCATACAATTTTATGTACACATTTTGGAAGACATAGTGATTTTATCGCCAATTAGTGACCCAACAAATAACACCCTATATTATATATTTCGTATAAAACTTTAGAATTTAGCATATAAGTACCATTATATACAGTGAAAAGTGTATTTATGTAATGAAACAACTGATTTGGAAAAATAAGGGAAACATTACGCAGTAGAGCAAAGTAGGTACATCTCATTTTGATTAATAATTCATAAGAAACGATTAGGAAGCTCATTATAATTCATTAAGAATATGTCAGAAAAGAAACATAGGTATGTTTCGTGGACTGATTGAATCTGGCTGAATAACTGAAAAAATCAAACTGTATCAAACTATTTTTCCTGAAAGAGCTTGTGGATCATACTCTTAATGAATTTTTTTTAACACTTGATTCTAATCAAAATGAAAAATTTTTGATATGTTTTCCATACAGATATTCTGTGATTGTTAACAAATGAGGGCTTGTTTAGCTCAGAAGTGCTTTTCAAAAAAAATTGCTTTGTAACAAATATTCTACTTTTGGTGCAAAACATTGCAAGAACTAACACGAAAGAAAAATATTCAATTCTGGAAAGTAAATCTTCAGTATTTCCAATCTATGGATGGAGAAGTATGAGATTCAATAGTGATATTAACAAATCCTGATCCAAAAAGTAACGAAGTATTTTAAAAGCGTTGGCAGTCATAAAGGCTATAATTTTTGGTTTATCAGATAAAAAAAGCAAGTATTCATAATATACTATTCTGAATTGCATGAAACAGATGCAAACTTTTTTGAAAAATCAAAATTACTAAACTTGTAAAGCCATTGGTAACATATCACAGCTGCAAGCAGCGCCTCCCTGGTTTTCTGCACATCTATTATTGCACCACAAGTTCCAATCTACGGGATGATTATCGGCAACCAAAGACTGCATAGAAAATGGTCCAGCTGAAGAGAAGTTGTAAACGCTACATTTCTGACAGCCAAATATTTGGTAGTCATATTCGAGGCAGTAGAATCTGCAAACTGAAACAAATATAAAAATCGTGGTTAGTTTCAATGAGTGTTGAAACCTCTCTTCAAAACTGAAATTCAGTTGAGGTACAACGATGAAATCAAAAATTACTAAAATAATTAAAAACAGATTTAATGGTAAAATTCTTACCCTGGCCCAAGCAGTTAGTCAGGGAGCATACATATATTCTTGTACATTTCAGGTATGGTTTTCTATGGAACGGAAGATTCCCATTACTATGATATTAAATGGATAAAATCAACTTTTACCTGAATTACATTGTTAACATCCTTTGAATAAAGATCTTTAAAGGTGAGGTAGTGTTTTGAAAGGTCAATAGGAGCAGTTTTGACCTAGTGCTAAACTGAAACGTAACAGGAGATTCACTGGTGATGTAGAATCATATTTTGTTCGTCAGTATTGAATGAAAGTTGTTTCAAAAGTTTTGTCCTCTTTTATGACTCTACTATGAACTGTAATATTTATTCATTTCAATGGCGCAATTTGAATCGGTGCACTTTTGCTAACGTAACACAAGTTGGTTAATTCCGTCAGCATAAAAATCATTAGCTCGGGATTTGATGGAGTTGACGAAGGCAATGTGTGTATGGTTCTGATTGGCGAAGGTTTTACTGGTGGAAAAGTTATGGAAGCGCTTGAAGATATGGTAGTCGGTTGGCCAGAGGTCTGGAGAGTTAGGCTGGTCGTCCATTGGGAGCGTAGTCGCGCGACTCGAAAGTAACGCGTATACGCCCGTATACAAGCTACTGATCTTAACAAATGAAATGTGAGTGAACGACATCCACTGTAAACGACCTTGAGCGACCGGCCTCGCATGTATGCATCACGAAGACGCCATAAAGTTATTCATTGCGTTTGGGTTCGTGTGTTCTGTGCAGGTATTGTTTAGTTTTCGATATGGACATTGATAACGAAAAATTGATTAGGGCCGTTCGTGAAAAGTCTCCGTTGTGGAACATGAAAGACAAAAGGTATCATTCTCGTGATGTACAGAGGAAATTGTGGTCGAAAGTTGCAGAAGAAGTAGGTGGTAATAATAATGGTGAGAGTTGTTGTTAATATCATTATTATACTACAAAGTGAACAAAACATAAGAAATATGTAAGCAAAACAAACCGTCAGTACAAAGCTTTTACTTTAGACACAAGTTTCTTTAGGTATTTGCTTCATGTTCACAAAAATATGCTGGAAATTTGTCTCTGATCCCATAAACGATACTGACACTCCTATTTTCGCCTAGGGAAGCAAATCTGGCTTTTGTAGTACTGGTTTCTGATTGTTGAGGTATTGTCATAGGTTGTGGTTCGCCTTCTTTGTCAGTTATAATATTGTGCAACAAACATATACATTCAACGATATCATCGACAAAGTTTGGTTCAACCTCAATTCCTTTTTGAAGCACTCTCCACTTGGCGGAAATAATACCAAACGCGCATCCAATAACTTGCCGTGCTTGTGAAAGTCGTTTATTGAAAATTGTCTGTGAAGGTCCAAGTTGTGATGCGGGAAAAGGTCGCATCAAGTAAGTTTTCAATGGATAGGCTTCATCACCCAAAAGAACGCGCGGAACTTTAATATTCGATCCAGGCAGTGTGGTAAGCCGTTACCCAACTCATTTGTTTCAAGCCTTCTATAAAGGCGGGAATTAGAAAACACACCACCGTCACTTTCCTTGCCGTACCCTCCTGTATCAATGGTAATAAACTTGTAATCGAGTCCCGCAGCACCTTGTAGCACAGTTGAAAAGAAATGCTTGTGATTTCTGAACATGCTGCCTGAATGGTCTGGATTTCGTATGCGTATATGTTTTCCATCAATGCACCCAACACAACTAGGAAATTTCCATTTACGCCAAAAATCTTCTTTTATTGACTCCTGCTGTTCATCTGTAAGAGGGAATGGCATAGTAGAGTGCTCAAGTGGTTCTAAACGAATACTCGAATGTTTTGAATGAAGCACCTGTGGCCAAGTACCTGTAACAACAGAAATCATTATGAACATACAAATTACATGATTTATTCTAAAAACAAGTGATTTTGTTAATTGCAATATTAACCAAAACTGTGGTTTTGTGTTTGGTGAACGAAGTAAAGAAAAAGTGGAAAGGACTGCGCGATGTATTTAGAAGAGAATATAAAGAAGTCTATAAATCAGGAGATGAGGCGTCGGAGGAAGGTTCCTCTCCATGGATGTTCTTCGACCAGATGCTGTTCCTCTTCGACATAATTGAGCCAAGACAGCTGAGGGGAAATGTTGCCCCTCCAGAAAAAAAACGTTCTCGAAATGATGACGGAGACGCTATTGTCGATGAAGATGATTTGCCTCATTTGAAATCACCACAAACAGTTGTCACTGACCAAGGAGAAGTTAATATGTCATCGAGCGAAACCAGAAAGATGGAAACCCCAGTACCTGCAAGCAACCATCAGATGCGTAGAAAACAGCATGATACACAACCAGATAATGCTGACGTTCGTCATGTTGGTCCTCTAATAACACCTACAACTAGCAATTCTGAACGTAAAAACAATTAACCAGCAGACATCACGGTTGAAGATACATTTCTTGAAATCGAGAGGGCTAAGTTACAGTTATTTACCGAACATGCTGTTAACAAAGAAGGAGACAGCGACTACCAGTTAGTCTTCTTCCATACCTAAAAAAAAGTTCCAGAACACCGCAAATTTAATGTAAGAAATAAACTTCAGCAAGTTCTTATCGATGAAGGAGAGCAATGCAACAGATTCTCACACACCAACACACACAACAGCACCGGTACCCTCGCCTTGGACCAGCGACACAAGTGGACCCTCATGGACAATTCAAACGTCTAACTCACCTCCAGGCGAGATTAATACTGGTTTGCGACAATATTTCGGGAACTTTGCAGACACCCAATGACTGTGTTATGTAGGCTAATACCAATCAGGCGCAATAAGAATTACAAAAAGTTTGCATATTGTCTGTACTATTGAGTACTTTATTTCCTTTTCATGATAGGTGGTTGTTACTTTTTTTGTACAATTTAAATTAATAAAGATGTATGACAATTGAATAACTTTACTTACCTTAAAATCACACTCAAACGTTCCACAGGTCTTATTTTCTCCCTGAAATTTGAATCTTTGGCGATCGATGACTCTATAGCACTCAAAATGTTCTGAAATGTGTCTTGACTCATCCGGTAATAATCAAAGAATTTGTGCGGATTATTTAGTAAATCGTCATGCAGGTGATGGAATTCTCCCAGTAATTTCTTCTACTAAGTATAACATTTATCCAATACAAACGTCTCTTCTTATCACGACGAGCTCTCAAACGCCTTATTATGTAAGGTTGCTCCAAACAGTACATGTTTTGCAAATCCATTGCACACGATTCTACAAAGCACACTTTATAAATGATGACTGTTGTGAACTTAGTGGTCTAGAGTCGCCTGCAGTGAATGATATCAGTCGCTCAGTTTCATGATCGCACATACACGGGCGTATACGCGCTACCTTCGAGTCGCGCGACTACGCTTCCAATGGACGACCAGCCTTAAGCCTCGAAGATACTCTCTGAAGTGGTGAACCTACAGTTATTCAGAACAAGAATTTGAGGATCCTGGCGGAGACTGACCCATCACAATTGGTGCATGGGATGACGAGGTCGTAATCTCCCTGACCCCCAAGTTTCGTCACTGGCTTCGTTCTTGCTTTGTTCAGCTCCAAGTGAACAGTGTTCACTGTATTGTGGTATATACTGATCGATAGAGAATTTTGTACACCATACATTGATGTCGTTAACTTTTTCCAAATTTTAATTTTTTGCCTATTTCAGCTTGGAAATATATGATTTTTGGCCGAAACGGTTCGAAAAATTAACCAGACATTTGGCAATGTTTATGTTTGCGAAATTTCGTTCCGAATTTTAGTTTTGAAGATGAGTCCCGGAGTGGTCGGCCTGCAGTAATCCAGGACGAAGATTAGAGGATTGTTTGAAGGTGGTTGACGATGTTTCGTGGTGTATTTCATAAACACAACTAGGAAATTTCCATTTACGCCAAAAATCTTCTTTTATTGACTCCTGCTGTTCATCTGTAAGAGGGAATGGCATAGTAGAGTGCTCAAGTGGTTCTAAACGAATACCACAATGTTTTGAATGAAGCACCTGTGGCCAAGTACCTGTAACAACAGAAATCATTATGAACATACAAATTACATGATTTATTCTAAAAACAAGTGATTTTGTTAATTGCAATATTAACCAAAACTGTGGTTTTGTGTTTGGTGAACGAAGTAAAGAAAAAGTGGAAAGGACTGCGCGATGTATTTAGAAGAGAATATAAAGAAGTCTATAAATCAGGAGATGAGGCGTCGGAGGAAGGTTCCTCTCCATGGATGTTCTTCGACCAGATGCTGTTCCTCTTCGACATAATTGAGCCAAGACAGCTGAGGGGAAATGTTGCCCCTCCAGAAAAAAAACGTTCTCGAAATGATGACGGAGACGCTATTGTCGATGAAGATGATTTGCCTCATTTGAAATCACCACAAACAGTTGTCACTGACCAAGGAGAAGTTAATATGTCATCGAGCGAAACCAGAAAGATGGAACCCCCAGTACCTGCAAGCAACCAAAAGGTGCGTAGAAAACAGCATGATACACAACCAGATAATGCTGACGTTCGTCATGTTGGTCCTCTAATAACACCTACAACTAGCAATTCTAAACGTAAAAACAATTAACCAGCAGACATCACGGTTGAAGATAAATTTCTAGAAATCGAGAGGGCTAAGTTACAGTTATTTACCGAACATGCTGTTAACAAAGAAGGAGACAGCGACTACCAGTTTTGGTTAGTCGTCTTCCATACCTAAAAAAAGTTCCAGAACACCGCAAATTGAATGTAACAAATAAACTTCAACAAGTTCTTATTGATGAAGGAGAGCAATGCAACAGATTCTCGCATACCCCATCTCTCTACACAACAACACCGGTACCCTCGCCT